CTCATACTCACAGGGATTCACCTGCCTCTGCCTCCGGAGTGCTGGGATTAAAGGTGTGTGTCACCACCACCCGGCCTTAGTGTTGGTTTTGATTTAAAGATGTTTTGATGTAAAAGTTGGGAGAAAACGTATTTGACATATTTGTTTTTGCCAGACGCTAACATTGGAGGATGGGAAAAATTGTTTGTTTGTATGGGAAAATATGCTTGTTTTGATGTATAAATAAAGACAGCTGGGGATATTCAGGACCGGCTACCTGTGTGAAACTCATCTGGTGGTTCGACAATACATTTCTTCGCATTGATAACCTTTCCGCATCTCAGGACTTGAACCCAGGCTGTGGTGAGACCTCAGCATTCCTCCTCTCCCTCCTCTCCCCTCCCTTCCTCTTTCTTTCCTGAGGGTTGAACTTAGGACCTCACACTCGCTAGACAAGCATTTCACTACTGAGTCACATCTGCAATCAAAATCTTTCTGTCACATAAACTGCTTATCTTGGGGCTATAGAGATGGCTCAACTGTTAAGACTTTATACTGCTTTTGCAGATGACCCAAGCTCAGCTCCTGGCACCTAAGTCGGGTGGCTTCCAATTGCATGCAATTGCATGTAATTCTAACTCCAAAGGAACTGATGCCCTTTTCTGGACTCTGAGGACACCTGAATTCACACATATGTATACACACACACACACACACACACACACACACACACACACACACACAGAGTCTCTTTATTTTAAAGAAGCTGATTATCCCAGACATTTGTTCCAGTGATACAAAGCTGAGGCACAGAGCTAGCATACATGTGAACACTCTATGACTTATCATATTTGTGAGCATTACAGCTTGAATGGAAAGGTCTCCTAGAAGCTGGGAGCCAAGGAATACCACAAAGTCACACCGCACGACAAACCTCACATAAGAGATTTATTGGGAGGGAAAAACCAGGAGGGTGGCTGTCTGCTCCATAGAGAAACCACGGCAACTCAACAGGACATGGGGCTTATATAGAGTTTCTTGGGAAAGGAAGTGGAATTTTTCAAGGTGGATATTGGTGGGATTTCATATACAGAGATTGGACATTTTTCTCTGTAGGATGGGGGCGGGGTCCAGCAGCTAGGGCAGTTACAGTAGTCTGTGGGTGGAACCTGGCGGTTAGAGGTCCTTGACTGAACGGCTTACAATATTACTACAGTAAAATGTATGAAACAACCATACTAAAGGGATACAGAGAAAGCACTTGCTTGCTTAAATATCTTTGGCAATGAATGGAGCTTATCACCATCTTAAAGCCCAGAGCAGTTGCACGTAGCCCCGTACTCTCCGATGCACCTGTTTCCCGGGGGTTGTATGGGTTAGCATACAACTGTTTTGTACTAGAGTTGAGCAGTTAAACTGATGGGCGGCAGACAGCATCTAAAAGTATGTTTATAAGACAAAATATTACTGCCTTAGGAGGAAATTCTGACCCACTCTCCAACACGAGCAACCCAGGTAGACACTGGTATAATGAAACAAGCCAAGGTACTGAGATTTGCCTTCTGAATCCCAGCCAGGGTAACTCTATTTTACTGTAAGCTGCGGTTTACCTGATCTGCTTGCCAGACTGCCATGAAACAAGACATCCTCCCCACAGTCAAACAGTGCCTGCTGAGACCAGCAGAATCCCCGATAAGAGAAAGGGCAGAGTACACGTGAGCAGATACTTTAGCCTGTCTGACCCTGCTGCCTGTGTTTTTACTAACACTGGGCGGTTCTCAAAGCACTTGCACATAGAACACAGAGGCTTAGTAGATGTTGGTGTGTGTGTGTGTGTGTGTGTGTGTGTGTGTGTGTGTGTGTGTGTGTGATCAGCTCACCACTCTGTACAGAACCCCATTAAATTCATTTTACTCCACAGGTAAGCTTGTATGAGTCATTCTTGGGGCTGTTGGTGCCATCTCGATTTGGAGGCAGATATAATTTGACATTTCCCCCGGAGAGTCACGCAGCAGCCCAGCACAGAGGAACACATTGCGCACTGTTTACTGACATGAACAATCTAGAATAGCCTACAACCAAAGGCAGTAGAAGAGTAGCTGTCAGGGACTGGGGATGGGTGGGCAGGGCTGGGCAAAGAGGAAATGGGAAGTTGTTCTTAGAGGGTGTACACTTCCAGTTTGGCCAGATGAAAAAGTCCAGGGTTGGAGCCTGGAGGCACAGGCCTGGAATCCCAGCACTTGGGGAGCAAAGGTGGGCGGACCAAGAGTGCAAGACCCAGAGCTGGGGGACGCATAGCTCAGTGGCAGAGCTCCTGCCAAGCAAGCACGAAGTCCTGGGTTCAACCTCCAGGACCTCAAAAAAGGAAGTGAGTGTGTGTGTGCACGCTCAAAGTCAGCCTGGGCTCTGTAGCAAGACCCTGTCTCTAAAACAACAACAACACAACATTCTAGAGGTTGACTGTACAGCATTGTGAATCCATTTAACACTCCTGTAGATGATACAAAGATCATTTGCTTGAGTTACTACCTCAAGAGCATGAGCATTTTCTGACTACTCTCCAGGCTGGCTCCAGGTTTCCAGGCTTAACAAAGGCCAGATGCTGGCTCCCTCCAGGAGGGATAATTCAAGGGAGATGGGGTCAGCTGCAGAGTCACCCTCTTTTGGGAACGGTCTGGATGTAGATGCTGCAGTTCAGGCCTGTGTTTCTCATGCCTTTGGAGATCAGCACCGGAACTTACGTGTGGGACATCTGCCGTCCTCATATTGAGGTGCAATTTCTGATTAAATTTAAAAGTAGTTAAAAAAGTATCGACTTTAGGGAGGCCAAAACCAAATCCCTTAGATTGTAAAGGTGTCTACTCCATGAACTCTACCACATCTGAAGCAGACAAGAATGTCACTCATACCGTCAGTGGAAGAGGCAGATGAACCCCTGGGTCTAGCCACAGCAGAACTAGTCAAGAGAACTAAATATAGCCACTATATACATGAACGACATGACCACTCTCTAGAATGGTTAAGGGGAAGGTTTTTCTTGTAGATATGAGAGAACAACGAGAGGCATCTGGAGGAGTCTTGAGCAGAGAGCGAAAGAAGTAGACTGGACATGGCCAGGGCTGTCTGTGAGAGAGGGGAGAATAGCAAGGGATGGAGAATAGAAAACAACACCCAGTGAGAATAGCAAGGTTATAAGGAGAATGAGTAACTGTGTGTGTTGGGAGACGCTGTGAACGGAAAGCAATTTAGGGTAGAGGAGAACACGGTGAGAAAGGCTAGGTAGCTAGCATGGACTTTGAAACGTGTGACAGGTATTTGCGATACCAGCACGTGGTCTGATATACTGATAGCCCCCCTCCCCAGGTGGCCATGTGTCCCTTCTGCCAGAAGGAAGGGAAATGACTCATTTTTGGCAGAGCGAACCAGTTTCACAAGTTCCTGAGGGATGCTGGCTTTTCTCTAACCACCAGAAATCCTCCTAGAGTCCAGGTTGAGTTTGTTTCTGGATATTTGGACAGCCTTTTGAAATTTGGGGAATTGGAATTCCCTTTGGACCTAACAGCCACCTCATGGTTTGAGGAAGGTTGTAGCGGCATTTCAATTGTATTTTAATAAATAAAGCCTGCCTGAAGATCTGAGAGTAAAACAGTCCTACTAGTCAGCTTTATAGACCTGGTTATGGTAACACACCCCTTTAATCCCAGTAGCCACAATGACACAGACCTTTAATCCCAGTAGACACACTAGCTGCCATAGAAACCGGGTGGTGCATGCCTTTCATCCCAGCCCTAGAGAGGATTATAAAACGGGAGGAGACAGCTCTCAGACGTAGTCTCATTCTGAGATTCCTGGAGGCAGGATCGCCATTGTCAGACTAAGGTCGAGGTAAGAGGCGGTGTTTTGCTTTTCGGATCTTCAGATTGAAGGTGTGTCTTAGATCTGAGGGGGGGGGAGCGCGGGGGAATGACACAATGACAGGCAGACAGACACGGGCAGTTCCAGGACTGTCTGATTAAAGCAAGCTGTAGTAAGAAGTGGTCAGTGGGTTATCTCTCCCCAAGCTGGGCTTTCAGAGAGTAGCTGCCCACTGGCTTTTGAGGTCCCTTTTTTGGGGGTAGAGTTAGGGTTGATAGAAAACAGGTGTAGAGATAATAGACCTTCAGCACCTGGACAGAAGAG